ATATATATATATACACATTTATTTTTTGTTTCTATATATATATATATACACTCATTCTATATCAAGGCTTATTAGAGGAGCCAGCAAAAAGGTATATGGGAGTTTACGGTAACCCCCTTCACCCCATTCTCTACATGACGAAGACATAGGGTTTAGACAACTTTAGGCTTGCAAGTTCAAGGTCCATAAGTTAAGGGTTGGGAAAAATGCAGAGCATGGTGAAGGGTCGTGAAGAGGAGGGCCAAACCCCCCTCTGAAACACAACTCTGAACCTTCTACTGGTGCTAGTTTAGGGTTTGGGGGTTCAGGGTTTAGGGTTTAGGGTTACTACACCCTACGCAGCCCTAAACAGCCCACAGCTTGGGACTCCGAAGCAAGTGCAAAACCCTAAACTCCCGGAACCTGAACCCTTAACAACTTCAAACCAACCAAGCCTACACCTCAAAAGCGCAAAACCCTAAACCCCTAAACCCCTGAACCCCAAACTCCGAAACCCCTAAACTCTAAACCTTAAACTCTAAACCACTAAAACCCCTCAACCCTGAAACGTCCAAGTCCGTCGACCCGGTTGCCTCTCGCCGGCAGAACTGCTCAACGAAGCGACGCGACACCAGTTTAGGGCTGTGGGGGCGTTTGGTTTAAGGTTGAAGGTTGAGGACACTTTAGGGGCGTAGGGTTTCGGGTTTAGGGTTTAGGGCTTTCGGGGTGTATGGTTTCAGGTTTAGGGGTTAGGACGCTTTAGGGGCGTAGGGTTGAGGGTTTTGGATTTAGGGCCTGAAGGTTTGAGGTACATTAAGCGCTGACCTCCGAAGCCTAAACCCCCCCCCCCCAAACCCCCAACCCTCACTGCTTCGACCTTTCAATCCTCAGCCGTAGCTGCTCAGTATGCCGCCTTTGACGTGCATACCCGAAGCACACCCCTCAGAACGTCGGCACTTTCTGCCTCAGAAGGATGTCCAAGGGACCAGGATCTCTGTGCGGGATTAAAATGAAGGTTTCAGAAGAAGACATAGGAGCCTAACATGGAACTCTGAACCCTGGGATCCTGCTGAAAGGAACAGTGCCTCCAAGCAGTAATGTCGAACCTCTAAATAACAGGAGCACCAAAGCAGAAACGATGTTCTTAATGATCCCTTGGAATACACAACACTGAAACCCTAAAGCCCAAACACAAAACCCCTGAACCGGAAAAGCAGTAAAGGAATCAAGACACCCTTCCAAGCGCCGACCTCCTGTGAGCTCCTGAACTGCAAGCACTCGCAGGAGCCCCAAAACCGCCCCTTCCCAGAGTTGCTGCGCCACGAAAGCAGGAGCCTTTGCAGACTGCTCAGGCCGCAAACAGCAGAACTGCGGATGCCCGGAAGTCGTGAATGAAGTCTCAGACCGTTTCGGGCTCAGTGTGCGGAATGCCCGGCTGGATCTGCGTCTTGAATACCGCGGATAAGACGCCGGTCATCCATAGGGACCAGCACCTAGGGGTCTGAAGGGTTTAGGGTTTAGGGGTTTAGGGTTTAGAGTTTTGTTCTCCGAAACAGGAACCCCAAATGACCTTCAAGCGTGAACCAAAAACCGATTCCCGGAGCCCTCTTCTAGCTTGTTAACGCAAAATCCAGCCTCTGTCTCGTCGAGCAGCTTTACCCGGTAGGCGTTCTTCTCATCCCAGTGCCTCACGACCACGCCTGCAGGGTTCTATGCTATAAGGATTCTATAAGGCTCTCAGGGTGCGGGCTTTGGTGTGCAGAGGCTATGTGAGGCGTTAAGTTTTTTTGTTTTAGGGTCGTTCGTTTTCGGGTTTCAGCAGCTGAATCGAAATTTCCGGTTGTTGGCAGGCTTTGGGTTATTGGTCGTGGACTCTTCTGTGTCTGCCAACGTCAGAAACCTCTCTACCAGGGTTTAGGGTGCTGTTGAGCTTTCTGGGTTTAGAATTTGAGGTTTTGTGGGGTTAGGGTATCGCCTTCGCGCCAAGCTGTCTGCCCGCAGTGGTGAGTATGCTCATGAGAATGTCCCAAGCTATGACCTTCGTGATTGCCATGGTCGTTCTCCAAGCACTCGCTTTCGTCGTGGACTTGGACCCGCACTTCGTCACCAAGGGAGAAGCGTAAGGGTGTCACCATACAGCTTTCGAAATCTGCAGTGAGGCACTGACGACGTCCTTGCATTCCACGGCCAATGAAAATGATACGATTCTCACGTGGTTGTCCTTCCTCCCAATTTTCCGAAAATCCTGTTGTTCTCACCATATGCACACACTGCACGACATACTTTGAGTCGCTCCCAGCGATTTCTAGGACGCCCTTTATGCGAAGAAAGTCCTTTGCAGTGTCTTCTTCGCCTAGGTACTTGTCCAAGAAAGCTTGGAAAGCAAACAGATTCACAGCTCCCGAACAACGAACACCAACGTTGGACACCGATCGATCCATCTTCGGCTGGTAGAACTTTGTAAAATCCTCCTCGTCCATATACTGCTCTTCAAGAACGCGGCCCAGACTGAAGATGGAAACATTGAAAAGTCTCGACAAGCTGACGCGCGATTGCAGACATCGCAAAAGGACTGCAGATGGGTTGATCTCCCGGACACGCAATTCGACGTCTTTCATGTGCGACTCCTTTACCAGATCAGTTTTGTTCAACAGCACCATGCTTGAAAAGGCGATCTGTGCAGCTGCCGTGCCTTTGTTTGTTGGATCCCCCTGACTTCCAGCCAACTGTTCTAGCACATGCTTGGAATCCACCAAGGCTACGACATTGTCGATATAGAAAGCCTCGGGACTCACGCTGCAGGCTTTACGATTCCAAGCGGTTGGGTTCTGTTTTGGTGGGGTTTAACAGTGGTTTCCTGTTTTGGGCTTGGGGTGGGTAAAATAGCCTCTGAGACGGAGTCCACCATGAAGAACGACTGCACGACCGGCGCAGGATCTGCCACGCCGGTGAGCTCAATAACCACACCGTCAAGAGAGTTGTTAGTCTCGTGTTTCCTCCATATGGCCGCCAATGCTCTCACGAGGTCGGCACGGATGTTGCAGCAAACGCAGCCGTTGTCCAAAACTACGACATCTTCCTGACCAACCCCCAGGACTTTGTCCCCAATCAAAGCATCGTCCACACTCACTTCGCCGACCTCGTTCTCAATTACAGCCAGCTTCTTGTCATGCTGTTCTCGCAGAATGTAGTTGAGCAGGGTTGTCTTACCAGCTCCCAAATACCCGGTCAGAACCAGAACTGGGAGCTTGCGCTGCCCGAAACTGTTGAAAACATGGTGTTCTACCTGGCTTTGACCAGCGACAGCATCCAAATCTTCAATCAAAACCATGGCTCATGCGGCGGTAAACAGTGCGAGAGCACAAAACTGCTGTCGCACATGCCCATGCTGACCCCAGAGACTGACAACGAAAGCCTGCAATTGGGCATAATGCTGTTGCAATGACCAGTTGCCTTACATTTGCCACGAAGGAGCCCACCAGTAACCAGTATTGTGAAGGTCCTCTCGACACTGACTCTACATGTTGTGGTACATCCCATTATATTCTTTGCTCAACCGGTAGTGAGCTCGTAGGTTACTTGAGCAAACAGCCTTTGATCAGCTAGCCTGGCAAGCCTGGCAAAAACAACATGTCAGCAGACGGGGCAGTACACATCTGGGTTTGGGGTTTAGGGTTTGGGATTTAGGGTTTGGTGTTTAAGGCTAGGGCGTGACATCAAAGTAGGAAATGCAGGAATGCATGTCGCTGCGCTGCAACATGACATACTAAACCCTACCCTAGTCTGCCCTATGCTCCGTACATGCTACGCCGGTTGGCCCTAAATCAGCCCTTAAACATCAGATTGCGTGCAACCTCAAAGGCCACTGACTTCTGTTTGCCGCAACGCCTCTCTGACAGGGGCTTAGTGGTGCCGTGCGAGTTTCGCTTTCTTCTTGTCGGTTGTACAAAATGATGAACCTTCTGACAGTGTAGGCCAGTTCTGGGTGCTTGGACATGCTTTGCAGGCTCTGAAACGAGGAACATAGAACGGCATCCCGATACACTACTCCAAGCCTACTTCCCAGAACACGCCGAAATCATTGCTTTCGGCTGCAGGCCAACCAACAGGGTTTAGGGTTTAAGGTCTACCACACGGGACTCAGTTTCAAGCCTGGGGCTTTGTGAGGTGGAGTGTCGCTGGCGTCGACCGCTCCGCACACCGAGTACCCGGGGATGGCATTTGGCTTTTTTTGGAACATCGGAAGCTGCGCAAGTCGAATGGAGAAAGTGACCCTTCAAATGTCACTCTGACTGCTACTCGAGCTTTGGGCCTGGAGCTCAGGTTAGCTTCTTTTCGTCGGCTGCACAGTGACGGAGAGGCTGGCAGTGCACGGTCTATGTGGCTGAACAAGTTCATCAGGCCCTGCAGCGCGAAAAATCGAACTCCAACCGGGCACTGGGTTGGGAGCAAAGCCAACAACTTTGGGCTTAGGGAAGGTTTTCTCAAGCTCAGAGTTCTAATTGCGAAGCGTCGCCACCTCCACACACCGAGTACCCGGGTATCGGGGCATTGAGTGAAACATGGAGGAACGGGCTCGGGCTCGCGGGCCGTCTATCGCGGCTTCGGAAGTTCAGCCTCTGTAGGTTCAAGGTTAAGGGCTTAGGGTTCATCTCCACTGTTTTAAATATGATACTCATGAGCATTTCAATAACATCAGGCTCGGACTGAAAACTTCCGACAGTTACAGGCTCAGGTACGACGGTACGACATGACAGCATTCGGGGCATCTCACGACCATGCTAAGAAACAAGATGGCGTACGATGAGACCCTACGGCGTGCGGTAGCAGACTGCTTCACGCTGCCAATATACTCCAGCCTAACATATGATCATGCCCTAAACCGCCCTGGATATCCCAAGCTCAGCCTCGCTGGCAGTTTATTGGCCATTGCTCCTGTGCCGCGCGCCGTCGCTTTTTGAAACTCTCCACGATGGAGGGGCGGCCGCGGCGGCGGGGCAGCACCGTTTCCTCCTCTACCGACTCTACCGGTTCCGGCATCGGCGGCGGAGGAGGCTCGGCCCCCATCTCACGTGCCTTTCAGTGGGAAGGTGTGGGCGGTAGATGTTAGTAGTTTTCAAGGCAATGTTGAAATTCTGTTGTGCTTGTGGCTTGCTTCAACCCGCAAAGAGCGCTAAGTTGAGCACAACCCAAACGATGCCACTTCGACTACATATGTTCAGGCTCCGGCGTTTCACTGGCCACATCAGTGCTACCATCACGGCAAGACCCACTATGTTGGGCATCAACAGCTGCATCATGTCATACACCATGCATGGCTACGCACAACAGTGCTGTACTAGCAACATTCCGTCTTGTGAAGCCTCCATGGCAAGCAGCGCTCGCCGGCGATATGCCGACATGAGGTTGCCTGGATGCATGCAGCACGGCGTGTACATGCCTACACGCACACACACATACATACATACATACATACATACATACATACATCCATACATACATCCATACATCCATACATCCATATATCCATACATCCATACATCCATACATCCATGCATGCATGCATCCATACATCCATACATCCATGCATCCATGCATACAATACAATACAATACAATACAATACAACGCAAGACAAGACAAGACAAGACACGACAAGACAACGCATGCATACATACATACGTACATACATACATACATACATACATACATACACATGTACATGCATACATATTTTTGCAAAGTGCGTCCACAACAAGATCTAGAGACCCTGGGCGGACAGCTGTATCCAGATAGCTTTCATGGGTTTAGGGTTTCGGGACATCGGCCTCCCCATCGGTTGTCTTTGTCCTGGCAGGGGAAGCATCGGCGTTGCGGGCAAGCTTGAATTTGTGTGACAGTCGGTCTATAACATGTGCATGTCCACAGCATCGTCGAATAACATCGAATCAACCGACATTAAGTTCAGAAAGCTTTTCTTGGGGCTTCGGATTGAGGGTTTGGAGTTTGCGATTTTTGGTTTGGACTTGAGATCCAAGGTTTGGAGTTTGGAGTGTAGGTTCCTGGGATTTAGGGTGTAAAGCTTGGGGTCGAGCGAAGGCAGGAGTAATTAATAAGAGTATTTCCTTTAGGCCTTGTGTATAGTTCTATATAGACATATAATAAATATGCTGTGAGATACCCCAACCCGGTCCAAACCCTGTTCTATGTATTAAGGTCGCTACTAATCTAAGGGCCTTCATACATGGAATAGGGTTTTAGGGTTTAGGGTTTAGGGTTTTAGGGTTTAGGGGATGTCTGATACCTGTAACTATGTATGAAGGAAGCCTATGATACAAAATTCAGAATCAGTTAGGCCCTACAATGGTCCTACACCTTAAAGTCACTCTTCAGCTCAAAGCACCCCGGTAGCGAATAAAGGGTCGAGGCTTTTGGGGCTTAGGTTCTCTGAGCCTTCGCCATCCTCCATTCTCCCTCGAAGCAGAATTTAAGAACGGGCTGTTGGGTTTAGGGTTTGGGGTTTGGGGTGCTGGGCTTTTTTTAGGTCCCAGAAATGGTGTACGGCACCCTTATAGAAAGGACCCTAAAACTACTAGATGCCAATACCCCAAGGCCTTAAACCACGACGACGACGACGACGACGACGACAACGACTAGGACTACTGCTGCGAAACCACCACCACCACCACCACCACCACCACCACGACCACGACCACGACCACGACCATTACTACTGCCACCACCACAACCACTACCACTACCACTCCCACTCCCACTACCCCTACCACCACCACAACCACTCCACTTCCACTACCACCACCACTACCGTCGACTACTACTACTACTACGACGACGACGACTACTACTACTACGACCTCGCCAGTTTCTGCTAATAAAAGCATGGCTGAACGCTGCGCATTAGCCATGTGTCTCCAAACAACTAAGGCATGGGCAGGCCGCTCGATGGCATCCTTCACCACGGCACCTCTGAGGTTTCTGTGGGTTTAAACCTATCACAGAATGCATTGCAGGGAGATGCCGAAAGCATCGGGAGCCTGGAGCTGCGGCTGCACTGCCACTGCTACCTTTGTCTGCCGGCTCCTCCAAGACCAGGGGCGAGCCAGGCTACAGGCTCTTGGAGGGAGCAGCTCGGGTTGAAGACAGAGCCTTGATGACGAAGAGCATTTGATGGACGGTTACTTTTACATCCTTTACAGTGTTCCGAGGTTTACAGTTGACGGGCATTTCCGTGACCCTTCCGGCGTTGCACTCCCTTTCTCTGCTTTCTCCTGAGACCTGAGACTTATCCGTGTTTGCGCCAGAAGCTTCATCGAATGACAAACCTCTGTAAATCCGCAAGCTGCCCGAAACTTCGAATGATCGAATCTCAAGAATGAATATCACTGAAAGCAACCCTCCAGCCTGAAACTCTAGACCCTCGACGAGCCTGCTCGAAGTCTTGCGAGCCGCAGCCTCCGCAGTCGCTGCTCCGATCGACAGGGGATGCCTCCATGGCTTCAAGCGGCTTCGACACAAATGCTCTGTGCATCTGGGACCAAGGAAGTACAGCGTGAAACAGCTTGCTGTTTGAATGCCTTGTCTGCATGCTCGCTGCTCCGTTCAAGCGGCAATCGCGGTGATGCCTGCATGGCTGCCGGGGCCTGTGGCGTGGGGAGCTTTGTTTGACTGCTTGGATGGGCCTGGATTGCCCGGTCGGTGTGACAACCGCCCTCCACCAACAAAAAAGAAGGGCCTCTGCCGGCTCGCTCGGGACTGCCTGGGCCTTTAGCTCCGCCTTGGCCTTTGGGCAGGAAACGTGTTGGGAAAATTGGAGTAACTTAACTGTGCCGCGAGGACTGAGGAAGCATTGGCAGGTCAACGTCCAGCCCGCACAGACCTCCTGCAACGGGCCCGACGACCCTAACACGTCCGTCAGGTTCGAGTATCTGTTGCCTCAGTCTCTCATAATATACTTCTTCAGGATTGCGAGAATTGATTCAAGACTGGAGCTTGAGCAGGATTCTTGGGGTGGTTTGCTGCCTCATGTCATGCCCGAAGCTGTGTGCGACCAGTTCAGAGCATGAAAGATCATGCCGAAGGCACCTAGACATGTTAAATCATTGAAAGCACTGTCTCTGTCACTGCATGACAACCTGTGTCAAGGAAATCCCCGCGCGGACCACTTCAGCCGGCAACGTCATCTGAAGCCCGCGCCCTCTCCCCCCCCACCCAGCCCACTTCGCCTCCATGGAGGAGGGAGCGCATGCAGTGACTTCTGGACCTCGCAGCTTGGAGCGTGTCAGCTTGACGTGTTCGAGCTCGTCAGGCTCAAGGCTTCGACACGACAGATCAAGGTGAGCGAGGTGGGGGTGGGTGTGTGTGTGTGTATATATCAAAGAGATCCGTGTGACCTCAGCTTTCACGAAGCAATGGCCACCAGATCCCCGCCCATCCGGCCTTCCTGGCGGCTTTGTGAAAGCATCTCCTGCCCAGTGGACTGATGATGCAATGAGCGTGTGGGTCAAAAAATGCCCTTCACATGCGTCCGACCAACAACGGAAGATGGCTGGACAACTCAAACTAAGAGAGTAAAACTGCAAATAAACCCCCATTAAGTTCAGAAAGCTTTTCTTTGGGCTTTGGAGTTTGGGAGTTTTGGCTTGGACTTGAGATGCAAGGTTTGGAGTTTGGAGTGTAGGTTCCTGGGATTTATGGTGTAAAGCTTGGGGTTGAGCGAAG